AAGATGATCGTATAGATTGTGTTTTTAAACACAGCAATAATTCCTAACTCCAAATAAATACAAAAAAACAGAATATCAATTTGTTTAATTTTCCAATATTATTTTTAACAAATTAAATTAATTATTTACAACTAAAATGCTATTGGATAGTTAGGACAAACATACAAAATCTAAAGTAGTTGCTCGAAATGTAAACCCAATTGTTCAATACACAATTCACATCTACGAATGATCGAAAGTGGTATAGCATTATTCAAATAAGGCCTTATTTCATCACATGCATTCCTGATTCTGTCTATTAGCATATCTCTTGTGGTTACGGGAGTCTGGTACACTTTTTCTTTTAGAAATCCCCACACAAAGAAATCTAATGGATTTAGGTCAGGGGATCGTGGAGGCCAGGCGACTGGTCCTTCACGGCCGATCCATCTTTCTGGATAATTTTCGTCTAGCCAGTTTCTAACTATTCTCGAATAATGAGCTGGACAACCATCAAACTGGAACCAGGCCAATCTTCTTAAATCTAACATAACATCATCCCACATATTTGCATGTTCAGCCTTTAAAAATTCCAAGAAGGTCGCAGCATTTAACCTTGCAGGAAAAGGGTAGGGTCCAAATAGTCGATTACGGTAGATACCAATCCACACGTTCACACTAAATTCATGCTGAAATTTTTTTTCCCGAACTGCATGCGGATTTTCATGCGACCAAATATGTTGATTATGAAAATTTACCACTCCACGTCTAGTGAAGCATGACTCATCGGTCCATAAAACGTTACTTAAAAACTCCCTATTATTATCAGTTCTATCAAGAATCCACTGACAAAATGTGATTCTTCATTCTCCGTCCCCTGGCTGTAGTCCTTGCACAGGTTGCAAATGGTAAGGACGTCTATGGTCATTTCTAAGAACACGGTGAACATGGCTTGCTGAAATTCCCAAAGCACCAGAAACTCTCCTAACACTTGTGGTCGGGTCTCTATCAAACTCACGCAGAATCATACGGGTAAATCTGCGCTGACGAACATTTATGTTTTGATCCCTTTGGATATTTCCAAAACCATTTTCAATTATTTGGCGATGCACTCTTACAAATACTGAGCGAGTTGGATGTCGTCTGTTTGGAAATCTTCATGCGTATTCTCTGACTGCTTCTGCTGCGTTTCCATTTACAAAGCCATACACAAAATGAATATCCGCTAACTCTTGATTGGAGAATAAAAATGGCATTTTTATATAACTTAAAAAAAACAGGTAAAATAAACTAAATTTCGTGCATTCACAATTGCAAAAAAACGTTTCAGGTTTCAACAGACAACAAAACTAACTGTCAACTAATTGACTTCTAAAAATTATCGAGATACTGACTTTTTAACGTTATTTTATCATAAATAATTAAAAATGCAACGAACCTTAAAAATCGAAATATCTCAAAAACGGCTAACTATAACGAAAATTCACAAGAAAGCTTTTTTATGTTGAAAAGTGCGAAGAATCAGTTTTTTTATTCAAGAAGCAAAAAAATGCACTAAGAAATATTTTTCGGTCATTTTAATACACTACAGGTACAGTAGAGAGCGCCCTTTAGCGGCTACAGTAAAACTATGCCCATGGTTCGTTTTTTCGCACCAAAAAACCCTTGTATACCAATGTTCACTATTATACATTAAATATTGTTCGAAATATTTAAAAAAAACTATTTTAGAAAGTAAATTTAAACACCCTGTATTTCAGAAGCCACGCATTTTTTAACCCATGTTTATATAGACTTTATGCATTAATTTTAAAAGTTCTATCGAATCTTAAAATTATGCAACAATAAACTGAAACACCCCGTATAGAAATGTTTTCGCTAACTAGGCTCAGCGCCCGGCGTAACTGTCTGCTCGGTTGTACTACTCGTACTGCGGCGGTGCTTCGGTGGGCAGCGCCGCGTCCAACGGTATATGAAGAGGCTACGTTGCCAAATGGGCGATAACTACCGGAAAGAATGTCTATGTCTGTTGTATGGGCTAGTTTGACTGACTGGACCGGTTTAATTTTTCTATTGTGCATGCTTGTAACTAATTTTTTTCTCAGAGAGTTTAACTCATGCTGAACTTAATCCTTTATGAACTGATGACTGATTTTTTATTAACCACGGTATCGAACTGGAAGCTTACAAGCCATGAATACGCTCATTTCTAGAAAATGAAAATCATTCCCATTATATCGCATGAGTATAAGCCGATTCGAATTATCTCACGCATTCACACGTTCACGACAACCCATATTGATTGTTGATCTGGCTATTGAATGTACGTTTAATCCTTTGGTGTATCTACATACAGGGCAACGATAGTGCTGTAACACAATATCATCCGTATCTCTATATAGACAGGGCATAAAACCTCATAATGTGACATACAGGTATAACGGCAAATCATGTAAAAACATGGAAACATACAGAGCTTTTCTTCGAATTTCCCCCTCCCCTTTGATTTTTTGAACGGATCAATTATTCAAAAAAATTAAAACTTGAGGTAATGAAATTGATGCGTGGATACCATATTTTAGGGTAAAATTGCCAGATGAAAATGTCAAGATGGCCGCTATGACAACGGGGGTCTTGTGGCACATCATTTTGAAGCTCCGGACGAGTACTTTATAACCCTAGAATATAAAGTCAATACCTTTACCTACTACAAAATGGTGGTACATTTAATAATTACCTGAATACATTGACATTTAACTTGATAATTCGAATAAATAGGTTGAGTTCAGCTTAGAAGATGCTAGAAATGATTGCTTTGAACTTCTTGACACAATAACAGCCGGTCCATAATTTCGCGTCAAATATTTTCAAACATGTAACATCGATATTTCTACAAATATTTGTTATTTTCAGCCGTATATCCAATATTGAAGCAGGTTCAGTTTCGTACACCTTTTGCTTGAAATAGACCGATAAAAAAAAGTCTAAAGGTGTCAAATCTGGCGAGCGAGCTGGCCATTCCACAGGACCTCGACGGCCAAATCCAACGACCGGGGAAATTGTTATCTAAATAGTTCCTAGCTTGTCTGTAGTAGTCTGGTGGAGCACCAACTTGCTGGAATACTATATCAGTATCGAATTCATTAGGATTCGCTTCGACGATTTCGGTGATTAGAGGTTCAATAGTATTTTCCAGCATATCCAAATACAGTTCCCCGGTTAAAGTTTGTTCGGTGAATAGAGGACCCACAATATGATTTCCCAATATCCCACCCTAAACGTTAATTTTTTGTGGATATTGGGTATGAGTTTCCCGGAAGACGTGAGGATTGGTGTCACTCCAATAATGACAATTTTGTCTATGCATATTACCGTTAAAAAAATGTATATTTATCCCCCATTTTGGATATAGGTAGGACGCCGTGCAATGGTTTCCGTCATAGTCTCGCAGAATTCTGTTCTTTGATCAGGATCATCTTCAGTTAGCTGATGTACCATTTGAATTTTGTATGGGTGATACACCATTTGTTTGCCAAAAGTCATCACCGACCTTCGAAAAGTCCACCCCGAAAGAAGAATCATCCTCCACCAAGACAATGCAAGCTCGCACACAGCCCAAAAAACAAGGCAGTATTTAACGGAAGAAAACGTGGAATTATTGGACCATCCTCCATATAGTCCCGATCTAAATCCTAACGATTTCTTTACTTTCCCGAAAATTAAAAACAGGCTGCTTGGTCAAAGGTTCCAGTCACCAGAAGAAGCAGTTGACGCATTCAAAAATGCCGTTTTGGATCTGCCAGCAAACGAGTGGAATAAGTGCTTCGACCGCATGTAGATGTGTATTAATCTCCGTGGAGAATACTTCCAAAAACAATAAAGTCATTCAAAACTACCTACCGTGTTGTTTATTTCTATATGCAAAACTTAAAAGACATCCCTCGTACTCGACCAGATGGCTGAAGAGTTGGCAGCAAAGATGGAATAATAACCCAGTCGCCATACTTATAACTGTGTTATAAATTAGTTGCAAGTGTTATAAATTAGTGTAGCAGTAATAAATTAGACGTTGAACAGTAAAACGGTGTTTTCGTTACACTACTATATATTTTCTACTAGCTGTTATTTTGTTGTATGTAGCCACTCTTACAAACTACGAAAATTAATTGATTTTTTTTTTATTAATCAGACTCGTATGGTAAATTTTGGGTGGTTGTTAAAAATCACAAAAAAAAATACCGAAAAAGTTTGCCGATAGATACACGGAGTGATTCAGAAAAACGTGACAGAAAGTAAGCCCAACCATACCAAAAAAAGTTCCTGAAAACATAGATTCTAAAATGTCTAATAATTTTCATTGCTAAAAACTTAACTAAGATCAACGTATTGAACGGGTTGAAGCTTTTTATACGAATTTTACCTCAAACATAGCCAAACAAAATGATGCCGATGATTTCGATTTTCCGTTTCAGTTTTCCAGATATAAGCGATTTAATATTTGATGTCTGCATAATTTGCCATTTACGACCACAAAAATGATACGAAAAAATTTAAATTCTAACTTTGCTGAAATCTTGACAGCCGTATATACTACACCACCAGAACTAGCAACATTTTGCGGCCACAGCCTGGCTGTTAAATGAGAACTGTCTCCAACAGAATGATTGCTGTTGCAGTGGTCGATTCTGGTTATAGCACTGTGTACTGTCTTATTTCGATATACCTTATATCCTGGATATGGGATAGTTGTTCAGCTTTTGTTCGTTGTCTTATCTGAGACCAAGCCTAGATCATGCTGATGAGTCGCCAAAAAGCACAAAATAGCAGCCTGTGGTCGAATAGCAAAAAGCTATATTACTAGTTTAACTCGCTGTATCTCGGTAAGGGGGCATTTTTGGTCCCCTGTCACATCCTGGAAGAAATTAGGTGATTTACCATCAAAAATAGAAATAGGATCTGTAGATTATTAAGAGCGTAAAAATAGGCAAACTCTGACTGAATAGTTTTGTTTTATTTTCCAGAGAATGGCGTGTCATAATGTAATAGTGTTCTTCACGGTACTATTCCTCTGGCTGATATACGCAAGTGCTCAACGATCTGTGGAACTGTTTGATTCCAGAGGTGGCGAATTCTACCCCGGCAACAAAGGCAGCGTCGCATTTCTCCATCAGCCTCTTAGAGTGCAAAGGAAAATTGCACAAAGAGCATTTCAAGTGAGTAGATTACATTAGATCATATCAAACTGATTTTTTAAAAACTCCAAGCCGTGGTACCAGAAACGTCAGTGAAAAGTGACTTGTACTTAAATATGTGGATTCATTTTGAAAATAATGGGGTTCTATCAGGTAACCAAATAAGTTCGTGTGGTTGATGTATATAGCACATTGCCATGAATGTTGTTGATCGATAGCGACTGTTTGTTACCTGTTGTCACTTTAGTATGAATCCTTCTTTTCTCGTACACATAAAAAGTTGTTGAAAATTGTTACATACCTAGTTTTAATAATTGAAAATGGCTACGAATAAAACAGTAATTCGAAGTTGTTTACTGTATCAGTACAAACTTGGTACAAAAGCAGCAGCGCTAGCGCGAAAAATATGTACCGCATTCGGAGATGATGCCGTTAGTGATAGAACAGCACAGAAGGGGTTCAAAAAATTTTCTTCGGGAGATCTCAGTTTGAGCGATGAACCGCGCTCAGGGAGACCAAAAATCATGAACAACGAGGATCTTCGACAGGTTGTGGACGCAAATTCCAGGACAACGTGCCAAGAACTTGCAGAAATGTTCAGAGTGAGTCTTGAAACTATTCCTTTGCATCTTCATCAGCTAGGAAAGACGTGGAAGTTAAGCAAATGGGTACCACATGAACTGACAAATGATAACAAAATAAGGGGTCTTACCATTTGTTCAGCAAACATTTCGCGCAACGCTAATGAACCATATCTTAATCGGTTATTAACCTGCGACGAAAAATGGATCTTGTGTTCGAATTCTAAGCGTTCGTATCATTGGTTGTCGCCTACTCATTCGGTACCACACACGCCCAAGGCTTCCTTGCACCCAAACAGGGTTTTGTTGTGTGTTTGGTGGACAGCAACTGGAATTGTCCATGATGAGTTTTTGGAAAGGGGTCAAACCATCACTGCTAGCTTGTTTTGTGAGCAGCTTCAACGAGTACAAGCAGCTCTCATCCAGAAACAGCCCGCTCAATTGGAAGAAAGTGATGATTCTTACAGGATAACGCGAAGGCTCATACCGCAAAAGTGACCCGAGAAAAAATGTCTGAACTCGGCTGGGAAACGTTACCGCACCCGCCATATTCTCCCGACATTTCGCCCGGTAATTATCACCTTTTTTTGTTTCTTGCCAACTGTATGAGGCACCGACAGTTCACAACTCGAGATGGTGCAACTTTTTGACTCCAAATCCAGGGAGTTCTACAATACCGACATACAAAAATTGGTTCCACGTTGGCAAAAGGTCATTGAATGTGATGGCAATTACTTGGACGGATAAATAATGTCTTATTGTTTCTCAATGAAAATTTATATTTTTCTACTAAAAACCGCACTAACCTATTTAGTTACCTGATATTAGCATAAAAGGCACATGATGAGTTTCAAGTTGTAGATATATTTGACTGGCTGACGATATGTTTAATTTCTCTATTATACGTGACCGTAGCTAACCTTTTTCTTAGAGGTGCTAACTTGTGCCGAATCCTTCAAGTGAAAGCAGTGTTTCAAGAAGGTGTTGGATCAACCTACTTCGTGGCGTTTTTCCCTGTATAGGCTTTCCTGGAAGATTTTGGCACCACTACTCGTAAAAGGCCAGACATTTTTTTTTGAAACCGTGTAGCGAAATTTTTGTATTAATAGTTGCTTCTATGAATTCGCATTTTATCTCAAGTTTTTTTCAGACCAGAACCCTAGATTAATAACAAAAGCTAATTTACGAATATAAATTAGTATACGGACACTCATTACCCTATTCGCTTTGCCTGAGACCATTTAATTTGGAATTGCCTTGTTTTGTGCCAAAACGATCAATTCAATTTCTATGTCTGGGAAAGTCCGTTGAACAAACTACGAGCCCCTTCCCACTTCAGTTGGCCCACTTCAAGATTTGTACCAAAATATGCCTTTATAAACTAAACATGACGAAACTATTTACTTCTAAAACAATTTATTTTCTCAAAAACATTTTAGATACACTCTAGTCGTAAAAAATACATATTTGAAATCACTTAGACTGATAACTAATAGAACATCTGAACAAATAAACAATGTGCGAAAAAATGCGCGAAGTTAACAAAGCAACAATTGAAAGATTATCATTGGGTAACATCACCTTTATTTTTTGTTATGGCTGAAATTCTTTGGAGCATAGTGTTAACCAAGTTTTGGCAAAGATTTGGTGTAGAACAATCCCATATTTCTTGAAGCTTTTGTCTCAGTTCGGTGATTGTACGAGCAGGATGTTGTCGTAGAACCTTTTTCATCTCGTGCCACAAAGTTTCAATAGGTGACAGATCTGGACTGCTAGAAAACCGTTTCAAAAGTGGTACATTATTTCCTTCCATCCATTTTATAGACTTTTTTGAGGTATGGCACGCTGCACCATCTTGCTGAAACACAAAATCTTGGCCGGATGTCAAACATTCTTCCATCTCTGGTAAAAACGATTCTTCTAAAATTGCCAAATATTTGTATCCACATTTCCATCAATAAAATGAAGTTTTCCTACTCCTTTTGATGACATACTGCCCCAGACCATAATGGATGCTGGAAATTTCACTTTTCTCTTCAGACAGTCAACATGGAATGCTTCATTTTTTTGCGAATAACTCTACTGCGACTGTCACCAACACAAACTTCGACTCGGGCCTCATCACTCCATTGTATTGCACACCATTGTTGAGGTGTCCATTGTCTATGTTCTTTAGCCCATCTAAGCCGATTTTTCTTTTGCAGTAGAGTTAATAGTGGCTTTTCTTTGGCCTATAAACAAGTTGTGCAACTTTAGGGTGTTTACTTTTTTTATAAGAAAACTTACCTTGCAAGTGCTAAATCCCAGTTTGTGGGCCTCTCTATGAGTTGTGCACCTCGAAATTCTCCTTCCAACAGCGTCACTCCACAAAGCACTTAATTGTAAATAATTGGCACGTCTGTTTTTCACGATTATTCTTCTTGATGCTCTTCGGTCGGCATTTGTGATATTACTTTTTTTCACATATTAACTGAACCAGTTACGTTATATCTTCTAACAATATTTCTCACACTGTACCGCGATAAGTCTAACAAAGTTGCAATTTCTGAGTTTGATTTCCCAGAATTAACAAATTTAATTATCAGTAACCGAATTTTCTCACTAATAACCTTTCCTCTATACATTTTGAAAACCTTAACTACCCAAAACTATTTTAAACGTATTCTGACAGCTGTGATTAATAAAAACAATTGTCATGGCTTTTATTTTTCACAGCCACCTATGCGTTATAGACTTATTTTGCATTAAAATGAAAATAGGTTGATATACTGTAATTGCAACATGTGTTATTTTTATGCTGCAAATTTGATTAGGGAGTGATAAAGTTGGTGTTTTCTACTATATATTATCAAAATATTCATTGTTAATATTTTAAACCTATAACACCCTGCTACATTTTTATTATTTGTGTTTGATAAGAAAAAAACTAAGATTTCAATAGTTGGGCCAACTGAAGTGGGAAGGTGCTCGTATACCTTAAAAGGCGTTCATACAGATAGGATAAATCGTGGATTATAAGCAAGTTTTGCAAAATTAATATTTTCTCAAAGAAACATCAAATGTCACCTGCAGCCAAATAATCACTAGGGTTCTGCCACAATTTATTGTCGATTACACATGCCGGCAAGATTTTTATCCAGAAACCAGAGAATACGTCTTTAATAGTTATTTATTATACAAGGGAAAATAGTACTAGATTTTAAAAAAAATCTAGTACTTTTTCCGTGTATAATACACAGTTTTTTCTGTGATGGGAAAAACGACGATTTAATATTGAAAAGTTATATTATTACAATATTTATGTCAGAAAATTATCAATGTGAAATTTGAATTTTGAAATTGTATTAGCGTTGCTAGGGAAGCTTTTAAAGTAATCAAATAGCTGTCAACTAAATTTTGTGATTTGATTCAAAAATTGTGAACTTAGTGTTTGTTTAGAAGTTATTTTAAATATTATAAAGTATAAAATGTCTGCTTCCGAGTTTTCTTTGACGTCACCGGAATTAGTAGAAGTAACCAAAATGCATCACAAAAATTATTGCCTGCTAAATCGAGGATATACAGTATCCGAGAATAAATACTCATTTTTTTCCCGGGAAAAAACTGATTTCATAAAAAGTGACATTTTGTTCTTGTCAACAGAGGTAAAATGTCAAAGTGTTTTCCCGTCACAGAAAAAAAGTTTGATATTTACAGAATCCGAATCCGTAGTCCAAAATTCTCAATTTGCTCTAGTTTCCGAGATATTTGTGTAACATAAGATACTAGAAAATTCTGGACTATATTTGAGGTTATGTAGCATGGCGAACTATTTATTTTAAGCCATCGACATCATCTTAAAGTATAAGCATTTATTTCGCTTTCACTTGGCATTGAATTTGTTTAAATATCTTTTTTTACTCGCTGAGAAATGACACTTTGAAATTTTCATTTTTCTGAATTTCACTATAATCGATATAGTGATATATATTTAATATATTTTAAAAATAAGTTTAATTTATTTGAATAAAAAATCATCTTTTTTATAAAAGCTGAACCGATCCAGCGTACAATAGACAAAACTTACCTAAACCACAAACCCCCAAACCACGCTTCCCTATCTAGACCGAAAGGAAAAATATATTTAAGCAAGCTAAACGGCGATGCTTGCACTTTGAGATGATGTCTATGGTTTTTTGAAAAAAAAAGAATTCACCATTCTACATAAGCTCAAAAATCCCTATCTTGCACTTATAGGTTAAAATATCTCGAAAACTAGAGCCAATTGACGAATTTGGCTTCGGTAAAGTATTCTCTGATTTATAGGTAAGTCGGTAGATTTACTTTTGTCAGCAAGTGATTTTGAAGTCAGCTGAAATAATGGGTCCCTGTACGTTTTCGCGATAGATTTTAGTTTGGATATTAACGTGGAAATTCGGTTTGGCCGGGATGTTGGCCTTTCCCGGATTTCCCTTACACTCTCCATATAAATGAAAATCGTTTATTTGACAATGACTAAAACTGTTTTTTTTTTGTAGAACATGGATCTATCAGTAGCGAGAAGTTTTGGAAAAAGAGACTGCTATGGGAAGGATTGTGTGAAGAGGGAACCACAATTTTCTGGTGCTAGGCTTTACGGAAAACGGAATACCAACAACAGACAATTCAAATGGTACGTATGATACTGATTTTTATATATCATTCAAGCTTAAGGATTCATATCATTATGAAATAATCAGGGTCGGCTTAAGAGTTTCAGAGAAAAAAATCCGCAAAAAGAGGGAGGTAGGCTCGAGAAGAAAAAAGGATAGATTACCCGAGCAATACGTGTTTCTGCTTATTGACTTGTTCTAAACTGGTGCTTTTTTCATATTTGTGTCTTAGCTCCTGAAGATGACGACATCGTTTGTGGAAAGCTCGAGGTTTCAGTCAAAACAGTTCACTACGCTTTAAGTTTTTCCAATTCCCAATAAACAATATAACTGCATTTTTTGCCCAACTAGTCGTTGGCAATGGCAATGACTACTGCTCGCATATATATATATATATATTAAAGCTTCCGCCTTTTGTTGGGTACTTCGACAAAATTTAAGCAAAGAGGACTCTTTATACTTTTTTTAATTGTCTCTAGCTTTCAATGGACTTTGCCATCATCATCAGGAGCTGCAATTACATTGATAACAGTAGCAACAATAGTTTAAAATGAATTTAAATTGACTTAACTTACAGTAGTACGTGAGGATGTTGCTAATTGTTGTTTACGTTCAGGATGAGGGAAAAACCCAGTAACATGGTGAAAGCTGGATAGATGGTACAATGGTCAAAATTATATAAAATACACACAAATGTGTGACAAGAACAAGTTAAAAACAGATTAAAAATTTTTTAGAACATGAAAGCATTACATCGTGAAGCCACTTGATGATTGCACAAAATGGTGGTCATGGAATAATGAGTGAGATGAACCCTTTGACAGAAGGCCGAAGGTTGGCAATGTCTGTGTAGAAAGATGAAACGAATTATGGGCGTGTGCCACGTTGCCAAATCACTTCAGATGATGTGATTTTCAGAATGTTATGTAAGAAATTGTTAAACAGACCAGAGGCAGTTGAATTAACTATATTTTAATTAATGGGAAATTAAATTAACAATTATTATTAAATCGTGAGGAGAAAATTATTAGAATTTGAGTGGAATGAAGTTTATTGGTGGAATCGACCAAGAAACAGATTCCATTTATGGTTGTGAAGAGTCAAAATTTGGGGAGATATGTAAGTTCTCCAATTTTTCGCAGTTTAGCAAATATGAGTAAATGACACTCAGTTGCTTAACATCTGTCTTTTTGTTGATACAGTTGTTATTCATGAAAGTTTGGGTCATTTCCAGGAATAAACGTTTGGATAGGTGTTTTTCTTTATCAAGAACTTTGTTACTTGTGTAATTCATAGAGTGCCCTGTTGTGTTAACATGAGATGCTAGAGCGCATCTTTCAGGATGAAGCCTAGAATCACTTTTGTGTGATGTAATCCTTCCTTTAAGAGATCTGGAGGTCTGACCTATGCATATTTGGTTGCAGTTGTTGCAATTGATGGAGTAGACTGTGTTGGTTAAGCCAAACAGCGGGACTCTGTCTTTCATTTTTGAAAATGAGATAAGTCAACACTGCAACATATCTCTAGAATCGTTCACCAACATTATAACATTCCTCTTTCATAACAATTATTTCTCTTTCAACAACAAAATATATTCTCAAACACATGGTTGTCCTATGGGATCTATTCTATCACAAATTTTGGCAGAATATGTCATGGATGATCTGCTTGATACTGTTATTCCGGCACTATCCTATAACCTCTTCTTCATAAAAAAATACGTAGATGACATTATTTTATGCCTCCCCTCCATAAGTCTGGATGGTATTGTCAAAGAATTCAACAGCTATGACCCCTACATGCAATTTACCATTGAAAAAGAAGATGAGAACCTGTCTGTCCCCTTTCTAGACACAAGACTCGTCCGCACCAACAACAATAGTTTATTGGTAGACTGGTACCAGAAACCTATGGCCTCAGGTCGGTTTCTCAATTTTAGGTCATACCATAAGCTAGGGATTAAAATCAACTTGGTGAAACAGATGAAAACAAGGGTAATCAACATCTCAGACAATACTTTCCACACCTCAAATTTAAGTAAACTATCAAAACTGTTCATCAATAATGGTTATCCGAAGTGTCTGATTAACAAGATCTTATTTAGTTCACCTTCCAATATTTTGCCAAACTCTAATGACACAAGTAATAGTCGTACAACCCCTAATAACAGAACTGATAGAATTCCCAACAATAACATCAATTCAAACAGTACAAGCACCAACCCAAACTCCAGACCTGGTTTTGCTGTCCTACCCTATATCAAGGAACTGACCCCTAAGCTGATCAGATTGTGCAGTCCTTTGAACTTTCGAATTGCTTGCAAATCCGTCCTCACTATAAACTGCATTTTTCCAAAAATGAAAGACAGAATCCCGCTGCTTGGCTTAACCAACACAGTCTACTCCATCAATTGCAACAACTGCAACCAAATATGCATAGGTCAGACCTCCAGATCTCTTAAAGGAAGGATTACATCACACAAAAGTTATTCTAGGCTTCATCCTGAAAGATGCACTCTAGCATCTCATGTTAACACAACAGGGCACTCTATGAATTACACAAGTATCAAAGTTCTTGATAAAGAAAAACACCTATCCAAACGTTTATTCCTGGAAATGTCCCACATTTTCATGAATAACAACTGTATCAACAATAAGACAGATGTTAAGCAACTGAGTGTCATTTACTCATATTTGCTAAACTGCGAAAAATTGGAGAACTTACATATCTCCCCAAATTTCGACTCTTCACAACCATAAATGGAATCTGTTTCTTGGTCGATTCCACCAATAAACTTCATTCCACTCAAATTCTAATAATTTTCTCCTCACGATTTAATAACAATTGTTAATTTAATTTCCCATTAATTAAAATATAGTTAATTCAACTGCCTCTGGTCGGTTTAACAATTTCTTACATAACATTCTGAAAATCACATCATCTGAAGTGATTTGGCGACGTGGCACACGCCCACAATTCGTTCCATCTTTCTACACAGACATTGACAACCTTTGGCCTTCTGTCAAAGGGTTCATCTCACTCATTATTCCATGACCACCACTTTGTGCAATCATCAAGTGGCTTCACGATGTAATGCTTTCATGTTCTAAAAAATTTTTAATCTGTTTTTAACTTGTTCTTGTCATACATTTTTGTGTATTTCATATAATTTTGACCATTGTACCATCTATCCAGCTTTCACCATGTTACTGGGTTTTACCCTCATCCTGAACGTAAACAACAATTAGCAACATCCTCACATACTACTGTAAGTTAAGTCAATTTAAATTCATTTTGCACTATTGTTGCTACTGTTATCAATGTAATTGCAGCTCCTGATGATGATGTCAAAGTCCATTGAAAGCTAGTGAGAATTAAAAAAAGTATAAAGAGTCCTCTTTGCTTAAATGTTGTCGAAGTACCCAACAAAAGGCGGAAGCTTTAATTTTTCACCTAACTGGTCTAGACGACAATGACCACGTCTCAAGATATATATATATATATATATATATATATATATATATATGAGCAGTGTAGCGGAAGTAGGGGGTTAGACACTGCATTCCGATTGTTTCACTAAAATGTCTTCTCACGTGTAATACTTTTTAATTTTTTCGGGTGGATTGATATTTTTAACATGTAACGAAGGTATCTGTCATTTTCAACAAGCCCAATGTCCCCGTCCTTTTGTTTTTATACTGATTACAAGTTCTATCTTCTCTACGTTCGTTTTGAAACACGTTGTGGCTGCAACCTCAACGGCGAAATCCTGATGAAGGCTCCATAGAGAATGCCGAAAGCTTGATTTTATCGTCAAAAGAATCAACTTAAGCCTAAAAATTTGCCAATTTATCAATTAACAATTAATTTTATATATATATATATATAGAAAATGATCATGCGGAGAAAGGTACATAACAAAAAGTAGGAAAATAATGGGCAAAATCCGCAAAAAGGAGGAAAGTGGATTCGAGCAGAAAATAGGATCGGTAACCCGAGCGATACGTATTTCTGTTGGTTGGCTTCATCAGACCCGAAATGAATGAACATATGTAACTACAAAAGTAGACACACATGCCAATACATCCGGAATGCGGATGTAACATGTGGAAAAGGAGATGAAGAGGAAAGTGACCAGCAACCTATGCATTGCGGTACCACGCGGCCGGTCCTAGCCACTTACTATGGTACGACGTGTCCGAAGGATCGACAAAAAAAGAAAGGAGAATGGTATATAACAAATAGAAGAGAAAAAGCTTGAATACTCGGAGCCATTATTCTAAGAAAGTATAGGCTGGCTCTTGTTAATGATTTAGTGTGCCATTTCGTTCCCTCTCCGTCTTCGTTTCCTCAGGATACTCTAGTATTCGGATGTATGGGCATGTGTGTCTGCTTTTGTAGTTGCATACGCGCATTCATTTTTTTCTATTTATTATTCTTTGGAGTTGTACCTGAGAGTATTTGGGACACTTTCTTTTTTTCAGAAAATGCGTGTCATTTCTGAACAAAGTCCTCTGCACGGTTTTGTACGAGACCCTAACACGGCTTCTGAGTCTATTAACCCTAATTTGTGATAAAATAATGCGAAGTATACCTTATTGACATGTAAGTGGTTGCCTGGATAACATGTTGATCTCTGAACAAGTTCACAATTTCAGTTTTGGGTAACTGTTCAACTAAGATGAACATGTTCTCGCGAATTTCAAGTCTGTACATTTTGAACTTAATTATTCAAGCAATTTGACGTCCATTAATGACAATAATCCACGATATGCTCACTTGCGTCATGGTAACTACGAGGATTGTGCTAAAAATTAGGTTTACAACGCTGTAATTTTGGCGCGCGTGATCCTGGGCAAAATCTGGTAACACCGTCGTGTTTTTCGGCTCCCCCACCACCGATCCCAACAAGAAGCGCCTATCGGCAACGCTCAGTATCGGTCTAACAGCCTTGCGCAATGGAGCTCTTCATCGCGGAGCGTAATTCGAGCGGTCAACCGATTTTTGTCCGCAAAAACGT